ACCAAGACGGCAGCAAAGAGGTTGGGGTTGCGATATACTTCAAGCAACGCCCAAATCAGGACTGTCAATGCACCACCAACTTCCATAGTTGGAGTAGCACACGGCGTGAACATCACGGTAGGCGATTGGCAAGGGAAAACCAAGTTCATCGTCGCCCCCATCAATCTGTTTGATGTTATTCTTGGGCAGAATTTCTTCCAACAGTGCCATGCAGTAATCGATCCTCATCTCCAAAAATTGACAATCAAGGAGAAGGGAAGGGAATATACAGTTCCGATGGTGAAGGCGCAGGCAACGGAGGGACAGGCTAGAGTGACAGCCATGAAGCTCGAGAGGGTCGACGTGAGAAGAAGGTTAATACCGGCAGCAACCATTGCAAGTTCGAGAGAAGACAATGGTGCTGGAAAGACCTTGCTACCGCGCAATAAGAGGGTTCCGAGTAGGAACGCTGACGTGATGAAGAAGACGCCGGAGTACTTGCCTTCGTTGAAGGAGGAAGTTCGGAAGATCGGGTCGAGAAAGGTCGGGACATCGATGAAGAGGCTGCTCGAAGGGATTGATCGAGTACGCGAGTTGATGGTCGCCCGACAGAACTCAACGCCGATACGGACGCCATGCGACGCGGTCGTCGCATCATCAGGTGGGGGAATTTTTCACGACCCGCCAGATACCCAGGCAGATCGCGACCTGTCTAGGCTGCCAGCAGCCTGTGCAAGGGGACAGACAGCCCAAAACGGCCAGCAGGCAAAGGGGCAGGCGTCCAAGCAGGTAGCAGACAAAGGGTCAGCCGTTACAGCGTTTCGGCAGTTTCAGCCATTTCAGCAGTTACAGCAGTTACAGCCGTTACAACTGTTACTGCAGGTCAAGGGGCAGCAATTACAAGCCTTGAAGAGGCTTGTTCAAGGCCTCTAGGCGTGGGGCAGACTAGTCAAGGCTAGGAGTCCTTTTTTTTGGAAGACTTAGAAGCATGTCTTATGGGCATGGACTTAGGGGCTTGTATATAGTGTAGCATTTATTTACTCGTAGTGTTTGGAGTAGTATAAATAGGTAGTCATTGTATTTGTAATACAGCCATCAACCAACATATCAATACAAGTCTTTCTTCCAAAATCTGTCTTTGTATCTCTTTCTTATTTCTCTTAGCGATCCAAAATAGTGAGAAGGCTTACTTGAGTTTGCGAGATACGTGAAAGAATCGTGAGCAAACCGTCAAGTGCCGCACGGAGTCTTGTCTAGATCGAAAAGGCCGTGACAGTACGCTTGAATATCTTATAGTTATAATTGTAATAATAAGAAGGCTTTGTCATATCCTTATTAATATTTGAATGCCAATTAATAATAACAATAACATTCTTTGTCATATGCTCATTAATATATAAATGTCAATTATTGTTGTACCTAAGAGGCTCTACAAAAGCCAAAGTAAACCCCAGGTGTAACATGGCATATGAAACCCCAAGAGGCCCTACAAAAGCCACTTAATATATCATACAAGATAATATGAGTAAAGAGTTCAAAATATAGCATTTCATATAAAGAGCTTGACAAAAGCTGAAGTCTAAACAAAAGTCTCAAAGAATCTAGTACATCATGAGGGAAGTGGTTGAGACGTAACCCAAACATCACATACAAAGTCTGAAAATAGAAATGACATGAAAGCAATTAGTATAAATCCCACAAAATAGTCATTAATCATAATTTATCTTATTATCCATGAAAATACACAATTAGTAACCAGTCCAAACTAGAATTCATTAAGAACTCCTTAATCTTGATTCAACTTAGGTGAGGAAAACCTTCAACCTTATGAACGCTTTCCTGAGAAAAGCCCTTTCACAATCATGTATTAGTAGTACGTGAGAAATTATTTCATAACAACAATATCAATGTTTTACACTCAAAGCAACCTTAAATTATTTATATCAATTTTCACAAAGGTACATGCATACCTTCATAAATTTACCTTTATAGTTCATAAGCTTAATTCATTTAAAGTGGAGTGGAAATCCGAGTTTTAGACTTTAGTGGATAGAGGGGACGTAGAGTGGTTTAATTTTCAGTTTTGTTCGTTTTTTTTTTTACTTTAAAATAATTCATTTAGTCAAATAGACTAGTTATCGCGAGTGTATTTCACACATTTTCTACTTTTAGCTTATTCGCAATTCTTTTTTCAAATGGTTCAAATTTGAAATGATAGAGGTGTTCAATAGGTACAAGTCAAGTTGAGGTGTCTAAGTGAATTATGTGGACAAATTTAAGGGGTCATAAATAACTTAGGCCTACTTCAATCCATGCATAAAAAGATGAAAGTGGTTAAGTTTTACTAAGAGTAGAGTGACCTGCACATGTTTTCGTATAAAATCCATAAACTATTTGACAAAAAAATTAAAACAAAAATATGAAAGTGGTTAAGTGTTAAATATTTGTGGGATGTGTGTTAAGAATGATAATTTAAGGGCATAGTTTAAGTTGAGAGTATAGTTCATGGATGCTTTTGGTCAGAAACTCTATCTTACTCCAAATGTTATGTGTTCTGATCTTCGAGTTCTAGTTCAATGCAGGAAAGGACGTAACTCACAGGTGTTGGGGGGAGCCTTTCCCTGAAAAAAAACTTTATGATACTCATTCTAATACTTGAGTACAATGGGTTGTTTGGAAGCTTAGTAGCTAAAGCGTTCTTGCGTGTTAATGAGGATACGCAAATTCGGGCTACTAAGTGGAACGGAGGCACAAATCATAAGGAAGGAAGCTCACTCAGAAGCGAATTTCAACTACTATTTTAGAGTATCGAAGCTCAATAGCATTGATCACAACACCTACAACCAGAAGAAGAAGAAAAATACTTAGCGCCCTATCCTTAGATAATATATAATTATTTGAAAGTATAAATGAGATTAGTAGATATGATATTAATGAATACTGCCGCAAAATGAACTCTTTTTAGGCTCCAAATGCCAATAAGAGACCCTCTCTTAAAATATAGATCAAAACAGACACTTTGCCCATAAATGAACGAATTGTTCACCTTTACCGTTAACTTCGTCTATTCCATCACGAATAGTATTCGTTTTGAAGCCGACTTTAATATAAATGTACGTACGATCAAATAATTTTTTTATATTTTTAAGGGATAAAACCCACGTAGCCTTCTGGACTATAATCAAAGTATCAGAGACACACCTAAATTACACTAGGATCCTATTACCTTCTTAAACTCATTTTTTCATATTTTTGTGCACCTTTTGTGATGACGTGACACCTTCAACTACCCAAGTTAGTTGTGTTTGTACACACGCGTCAGGCACCTGCCGTGTGCGTAAAAATATTTTTATTTTCTTTATCTTGTGTCTAAATTAAGTTAATACACATTTTTACCTTTTATCGAAACTTTTTTTGACCATCATTCATTGTTTTCTCTCTTTATTTTCTATTAAATTTATTTATTCCTTTTATTTTCTTCGCCTTTTGTTTTGATTTGATTTCAAATTCAATTTCAAATGTCTTGTATTTAAAATAAGTTAATTTCGAATGAATATAAAAAAAAGTGAAGAAAATCGAATAAAACATAAAAAAATTAAAACGTTAAAATTAAAGGACACTTTTTATCACTTTTTTTAAAAAAGTACACATTATTTTTTTAAAAAAGTGAAAAGATAAATTAATTAAAGAAAGTTTAAAGTGAGAAAAAAATTAAAAACAAATATTTTATAAAAAAAAGAGATAAAAATTATATATATATATTAAAAAATAATCAAAAGTGAAAAGATAAA